CAGTCACGGATCCAGCATAATCAGCATCTGTGTAGACTTCTAAAGATAGATTTCCATCACGTCGGAATAACAATCCTTTACCAGGAGTACCTTTATGATACTGAAGAATTCTCTCTACTGCCTGCATGTGTTTTTCCTTTGGATCGTGCATAAATTGACTGACAACACTAACAACATAAGCTAGGTCTGGTCTAGTATGGGCCAGATATATCAATTTCCCAACTAGCCGTTGGTATTGTCCTTTATCAACTGGAGGACTCTCTTCTTCATAGCCCATCTTGTGATTCTGCTCAATAGGAGTATTAGAGGGTTTACACTCGAGCTTTCCTGCTTCTTTGAGAAGATCCAAAACATTTTCCTCTGGCTGATAAAAATTTCTTTGCTTGAATGAGCTACTTTTATCCCTAGGAAATATCTCAGTTTCCTAAGGTCTTTGATTTCAAACTCAGAGGCAAGCCGTGTTTGCAGAATCTGTCTCTCCACAAAATCATCACCTGTGATAATAATATCATCAACATATACAAGGAGCACAGTAAGCTTCCCATTTTGGGAGTGCTTGAAGAAAAGAGTGTGATCTCCTTGACTCTGCCTGTATCCTAAGGTCATCATAACCTTAGTAAACCTTCCAAACCAAGCACGGGGTGACTGCTTCAATCCATACAAGGCCTTTTTTAATCTACAAACTTTATTTTCCCCCTTCACAGAATCAAAACCAGGCGGGATTTCCATGTAGACTTCTTCTAACTCACCATTGAGGAAAACATTTTTCACATCAAATTGATTTATATCCCAATTGTAATGGGCAGCAAGGGATAACAAGATTCTTACTGTATTCATCTTTGCAACTGGAGCAAAGGTTTTTTCATAATCAATGCCATAGGTTTGAGTGTAACCTTTGGCCACTAATCGAGCCTTGTATCTCTCAAGAGTGCCATCAGAATTATATTTCAGGGTATAAACCCATCTGCACCCTACTGCTTTCTTTCCGTTGGGTCTATCAATAACCTCCTATTATTTTTCTCCAAAGCATTCATCTCCTCTTGCATGGATTGAGCCCAATTCCTATCTTTCAAGGCTTCATGTACTGATTTTGGGATTGCAATAGAGTTTAGTGCTGAAACAAAGCTTTTGTGCTGCACAGAAAGATTAGCAGAGGAAACAAAATGGGAGATAGGGTATTGAGTACAAGAGGGACAGGAGGGACAAGATTTCTTGGGACAAGCTCTTTTTCCTTTTCTAAGAGCAATGGGTAAATCATCAGAATCAGTAGTAATGGGTAAGTCATCAGAGGTATTAACATCATGATCAGAAATATGATATTCAGGACTTACCAGTGGTTCAGACAATTGAGGTTGCTGTTGAGACAATGTGGGTTGTTTCCTTCTTTCAGGTGTCATAACCTTCTGTATCTCTGGTGTACTTGATGTATCAATCACAGGAGAATCAGTCACAGGAGGATTACTCACAAGAGAATCAGACGCAGGAGGAACAGGACCAAGAGGAGGATACACTGACATAGGTAAAAGAGTAGACACTGAAGATTCAAACTCAAAGAAGGCAGGTGATGAGATTTCTGGTGAAGGCAAGATTTCTGGTGAAGGATTCTCCCCCTGAAGATGAGGACCTTGGAAAAAGTACTCAAATTCCTGAAATGTAACATCCATAGAAACAAAAAATTTCCTACTACTAGGGTGATAGCACTTGTAGCTCTTCTTATTAGGAACATAACCAAGAAAAACACATTTAATAGCCCTAGGATCCAACTTACTTCGATGATGTTTATGAACATGAACAAAAGCAACACACCCAAACACTCGTGGAGGAAGACTCATCATAGTTGGAATAGAAGGGAAAAAAGAAGTCATAGAGTGGATAGAACTTACATGGTCAAGTACCCGAGTGGGTAAACGGTTGATCAAGAATGCTGCAGTAAGAATAGCATCTCCCCAATAGTATTTGAGTACATGTGTCTGAAACATTAATGCACGAGCCACTTCAAGAAGGTGACGATTTTTTCTTTCAGCAACCCCATTCTGTTGGGGGGTGTCAACACAAGTAAGTTCATGAATTATACCGTTATTTCTTATAAATTGGGAAAAACTGTGATTAACATATTCAGTATCATTATCTGTTCTTAGTCTCTTGATTTTTTTACCAAACTGGGTCTCAATCATTTTATAAAATTGAAAGAACAGTTGTGGTACCTCAGACTTTTCACGCATTAAGTACACCCAAGTTACACGAGTGCAATCATCAATAAAAGAAACAAACCATCTATTTCCAGAAGCATGAGAGACTTTAGAGGGACCCCAAACATCAGAATGAATAAGATCAAAAGGTTCAACACTCTTAGTAATACTAGAAGGAAAAGACACACGATGATGCTTAGCAAATTCACAAACATCACAATGAAAAGACTCAACAGACTTAGACAAAAACAATGACGGAAATAAAGATTTGAGTAAACTAAATGGAGGATGACCTAAGCGCTTATGATGAAGCCAAATCAAAGAATCAGCAGTTGATTGACCATGAGACATCAAGATGTGATCTGTTACTTTATTTGCAGGAGATTGTGACACCAGATAGTACAGCCCACCTTGCTCTTTAGCACTACCAATCGTCTTCCCCGTGGCGAGATCCTGAAAAAGACAATGGGTAGGATAGAAGGTTACAGTACAATTCAAATCTTTTGTAATTTTATGAATAGAAAGAAGATTCGTGGAGAGTTTAGGAACATGAAGAACATCCTTAAGATGTAAGAACTGCTGTAAGTTTATGTCACCAGAACCCGCAACTGATGTATGAGAGCCATCAGCTACGGCTATTGTATGAGTTCCAATGGTAGGATGATAAGAAGTAAAGGAGTCAGCACAACAAGCCATATGATCAGTAGCACCAGAATCAACAACCCAAGAATGTTTAAAATCATTACATGAAGAAATGAAAGAATAAGTTTTGGAGCTCATACCAGTCAGTCAAAGCACTAGTATCAGATGGCTTACTCATAGAATCAAGAATGGTTCGGAGCCGTTTCAACTCATCTGGACGAAATGCAGGTTAGGTCTTATTAGGTGCAGGAGTTATTTCAGAGGAAGTAAAATGCGCTTGACCACACAACCTTGCCATCTTTTCTAAGACAGTTTGCTTTCCATGGAGGCGAAAGCATAGATCTTTGATATATCCTGTTCTTTTACAATAAGAACACCATCGATCATCTCTTCTAGAAGATGCACCATCATAAAACTTGGTAAAGGAACTCCTTTGAGAAGAGGCCATACTGCACAAAACTTGTCAAAGAATAGCACCAAGTATCCAAAAAATACGGAAAAAATACCAAACGACGTCCGATCTGAGAAAAAAATCACAGATCCAGAAAGAGGATGAAGAGACGATCAGAACGCTGTTGACCGGAGCTGGAAAGAAGCAGTCACGCGCCTCCACGTGCCGGTGGAGGTGTCTGCGAGTGGGCCTCACTCGCCGGGAGTGTGGCAGCGCGTGGGAGCGCGTGCGGCGGCCGCCGGAGTTGGGATTTTCACCGTGAGGTCGTCCGGAGGTGGCGGTCCCTTCTGTGGCTGAGCGGAGTCCAAACGGTCACCAGAAAGTACTGTTCCAGTGATGAACAGTAGTGGGTTTGAGTCGTTCTTAAGAGATCCGGCCGTCAATTGATTGTAAAAGGTCCACAAACTGATAGATCAGAGAAAAAAGGTTTGAAAACAGGTCCTCTCGGTCCAAAAAAGGTCCCCGGAAAAAAATTTCCTGTGGCAGCTGATAGGCGGCGAGAGGAGGAAGGGAGAAGCAGTAATTGCGGAAGCAGAGCCCTCAAGGTCGAGAGCTCTGATACCAATTTGAAAGAAAAAGGTATTTGAAATATTATTGAATTGTGAATAATCTGTACAAAGGGTTCTCTATTTATAGAGAATACTTGATCTAATTTTGACCTAATGGGCTTGGCTCAATACAACAAATAAATGACTAAATAATAACTAAATAATTATTATTTACAACATTCGGTGTTCAACTTTGGATTTTTAGAGGAATAACATCAAATTAGATAATCGTTTATCGATTGTAAGGAACTTTGATTAATAATATATGGTAGATCTCCAAGCTAGCTTCAGAGTTGTGGAGGGTATATCTTAGTTGACGAACTGATGAACACTGACAATGGATTACATGATTTTGGACTTTGAGTTCTAGGTTTGTACTCTGTAGCAAATGAGATAATATTGGACTTTGAGCTCTTGCATACCAATTGGTTGCCTCAAGAGATACATGACTATTTGAAGGATTACTGGAATAGTAATGAAGAATGGAAGAAAATGGTTAAAACAAATAAAATAAATAAGTCCATATACAATAGACCTTCATATTTATTTATCTATATGTTTTTATTTTTGACATGTTTTTCTTCAACGAATTTTTCTCACGATGATGCATGATGATATGAAGTGTTAAATAAACAAAAATATTATGAGACTGCATTGTAATAGGTTAGCTTTCATAAACTACAAGCTATAAAGGTACTGGTCATAATGGCTGGCCTGTAATAGATATCTCTGGGATGCTAGAGACTGATACACATTAAAAGTTATTCTTCGAACAGATATGATGCTACATGAAGTATCCCAGGCTCTTTATGAATTCAATTATTTCTACTTTTAATTTCCTGTTATTCACTGAGAAACTAGTTCTCATTATGTGGATATTTGTTGCATGCAACTCAATGAAATTGCAGGCAGCAACAAATTACAAATTATAAACTGGTAAAGCTTTAGAGATCATTGTTGTGTTTTTGTCGTTTTATCTATCTGCTTCTGTATGTATGTTCTGTGATTTCCAGCTGTGAAAAGGCACAGTTTGTGTAGTTCATAAAGCTGTGATCCACTAGAATATGAATTTTAAATATTGTATTAGAATGGGATAACAATATACAAGTTTTTCTAAATAGTTCTATGTGGAATAGAGGAAATTATACTACATAGATATTCATTGCCTTGAGACACTAGTTCTTGGAAAACGGGAAATCCTAATTAAGTACAAACTTATTTAACACACCATGTGAACTAAAACTAGCATAAAAGTTTAGAAAAATACTACATGTTACTTCCCAGTTCCCATCACTATGGCCAACAGGTTTAATGGAGGAAGCCTTTATTTCCACACTAAACAAAAGAAGAACAAGAAAATACAAAATCCAAAATAGAAAAAGAAAATGCAAATTACAATCAATAAGGTTTCCACCTTATAGTTCTATACCTCTGTCTTCCATGTTGTTCATATACAAAATCAAGCTGAGGGATAATCCTGCAAAGCATTTCATCCACATGCTTGGAATACCACATCCTCCATCTCCTCCAGAAAATAAGGGGGAGAATAAAAATTCCAAAGCCAAAAGTAAATCCCAACTCTGCACTTAAGAAATTCCAATCAATTGAACTCTCAGTATGAGAATAAGGTGTTTCAGATGCAGGTGGTGACAACCCTTTCCAACCTTCACTACTCCAATTTTGAGTCAGTGGAGGTCCATATAACCCTTCATTGCCTGTAAATGAATCTGCTTCAAATGTCTGAATTTGTGAACCTGAGGGTATTTTCCCCACCAGATGATTATATGAGAGGTTCATGACTGAAAGAAATGACAAGCTTGCAAGCTCTGTAGGAATCTCTCCACTTAAAGAGTTGTTTGACAAGTCTAAGGACTCAAGAAGTTTTAGATTTCCTAAAGAAGAAGGAATGGTACCTGAGAAAGCATTTTGTGACAAGTTAAAAGCATGCAGTGCTGTGAGATTCATAAGCTCTTCTGGTATTGACCCTTCAAAGTGGTTGGACGAGAAGTCCAAGGAAGTGAAGGCAATGAGGATTTTCACCAAATTCAATTGTCTACCTTTATTGACAATTGTGACTGAATCCTCATAACTTCGAATACCAACACCCTCTTCAAAGATATGGGAGATTATGTGATCTATCAAAAAAGGTGGTTCTGCTGCTATAGTTTTGGCTAACTTAATTTTAAGGTCATTATTGAGGTCTACTATTGCAGTCAGAAAGTTCACAGGATTAAAGTTATCATAGAGATCAAAATATAAATGGCCAAACCTCCCACCTTCATCTTCTGCCAGCATCAATGCTGGCAAGCTTTGTAAGAGTGCTACTGGTAATGTACCAGTGAAATTGTTGGAGGCTAAATCAACAATTTGAAGCTTCTCCCATTTGCCAATGTTATAGGGACATCCAATATCCCCATGCAATTGGTTTGACCTTAAGATCATGACTCTGAGGGTGGAAATATTCTTCAAGAAGCAAGGAAAACTATCAATTAATTGATTGTTTCCGAGGTTTAGAACTTGCAAGTTTTGGCAATTAGCCAAAGATTTCGGGATTGTTGCCCTCAAAAGATTTGCACTGAGATCCAAAAACCTTAGAGCACATGAGGTTGAGAATGTATCTGAAATATGGCCACTGAGTTTGTTTCCACCAAGATTTAGTAGCCTGAGAGTACTACTCCTTCTTGTCAAACACATAGGAATCATGCCATTGAAGCTATTATGGGAGAGATCAAGCGCTCGAAGAGCTGAAATGTTGCAGAAGGATTCAAGAATTCTGCCATGAAAACTGTTGTTTGAAAGGGAGAGAAAATATAGGAAAGGAATGTGACTACCAATATCTGCTGAGTTAATAGAGCTGAATCTATTGCTTGAGTAGTCCAAATAAATGGCATTTTTTAAAAAGGTAGGAGCAGGCCCATGTAGATTGTTAGAATGAAGGTCAAGTTTGAGCAAATTTGAACTCAGATTGTGGAAAGGCCCTTCAAAATTTGTTAGAGAGTTGTAGGACAGATTTAGGACAACTAAGTCATTGAATCTCCAAATCCAGTTTGGAATTGTTCCTTCAATCTGGTTGCTGGATAAGTCTAGGTAGAGTAATGCTGATTTATTTATCAGAAAGTTAGGGAATGATCTCAAATTGCATGAACCCAACCAAAGAGTTTTCAAATTGGGAAAGGATAATGCATTATGGCCATCCCTAATATTTGCATCAACTAACAAGTTGTTATGGGAAAGATCCAGTGTGGTCAAATTTTGCAGCCTTCCAAACATATCAAGTTGTATAGTGCCATTGAACTTGTTTTTGGAAAGTTGAAGCAAACGGAGCCTTCTGAGTTTGGAGATGGACATAGTAATAGGCCCTTCAAAATTGTTGCCACTTAAATCAACCATCTCTAATAATGAAGAAGGAGCATTTGGAAATTCTTCCAATATGCCATCAAATTTGTTGTAATAAAGCATGAGTTGTTCAAGAGATTGAAGTCTAAACAGAGATGAGGGGACTCTTCCTTCAAGGGAGTTATCTCCTAAATCAATGCTCATGAGATTTATAAGGCCCTCAAAATGGGTAGTTGGAACTGTACCACTGAAGCCATTATGATTGAGGGATAAAACTGTGAGGGCCTTGGACCTATTAAAAGATGGAAGAGAACCAGAAAAGTTATTGAATGACAAATCTAGATGAACAAGTTGGGTGAGACCTGACACTGAATTAGGAAGTGTCCCATTGAACTGGCAGTTTGATAAATCTAGTGTTGACAATTTCCTCAAATTGTGGATAGAATCTGGCAGAGGTCCTGAAAAATTTGTATGGCTAAGGTTCAAGTTGTGCAGAGAACTTTGATGAGGGAAGTTTGGGAGAGAACCATGAAGACCCAGATTATAAGACACATCAAGCACCTGCAGTGATGGTATTTGGAAGATATTTGTTGGAAACACTCCACTCAATCCACAGCCACTGAGTTCCAAGGTTGTTAAGTTAGACAATTTCCCAAAGTACTGAGGCACTGGACTTGGTATGAAGTTATGGCTCAGTCTAAGTATTGAGAGAGACTGAAGCTTTGCTATTGAAGAATCAAAAGGACCAGAGAGATTACATGATGACATGCTCAGAACTTGTATATTTATTAGTGAGGATAAAGCATGGCTCCACTCCTTTCCTTTGGCTGATATTGCTATGCCATCCAGATATAGCTCCTTGATTTCTGTGAAGTTCTGCACAAGCATTGCAATAGTTGGCTTCTCAAGTCTTAAAGCATGTTGTGAGGTAGATAAATCAATAGTGGCCAACTTTTTGAGGTAAGAGATCTCAATTGGAATTTGCCCCTCAAAGCCAGCATTTGACAAATTCAAATACCTCAAGTTCTTCAGCTTTTGAAACTCAGAATGAATCCCAGAATGGAATTCATTATAAGCCAAATTCAAACTCTGCAGATATTGCAATTCAAAGAGACTGCTTAAATTTTCAACCGACCCAGAGATAAATTCATGGCTCAAGTCAAGAGCTATAACACGTCCCTTGGTGCATGTAACTCCATTCCAATCACAGCAATCACCACTTTGGTTCCAATGAGTCAATTTTTTGGACTTGGTTGGGTTGAATATGAGGTTGTTCTTCAAATTAAGCAACAAAGATTGTTGATGACTGTGGCAAAGGCCAGTCACCAAATTGATATTGATGCTCAAGTTTATGAGGCAGAAGGATAGCAAGGAAAGCCATGATAAGATTATTCTCATTGGAAATGATTATGAGAAGCAACCTTACTACAACAAATGGTTTAAGGTTGAAGATGGTTTTTGCCTTTGAGCATATGCTATCTCTCCCTTTTATAGATTCTGACCCACTTATGAGTTTACTAGATCCAACCTTACTTGAAAGTCTAAAATTGGACCTGTATTTCAACTATGAACTTTTGGGTGGTACAAATTAGGCGTGACTAAAAGTATGCACAAGTCATAACATAGAGAGAAAAGAGATCATTTCCCTACTTCAACGTGAAAAAACAAGATAAGTAGATTCGTTTCAAATTTCAACAGCAAAGTAAAAACTTTACGGTAATTGTGAATAAATTCAAATGAAAGGTTATTGGTCATTTTCTGTTTTTTTGTAATCTTGTGGTTTCTGTCGTGTTCAATTATATCAGATTCAAATTTTTTTGAAAATTATACTATCATTGCATTAATCATGATATGAATTTAGATTCAAATATATATTCAGGTTATAAATTATACAAATGGAAGGAGAAAAAAGGGAGGAGAGAGAAAGAGTATGAGAGAGAAACAAATGAGAAAATGGTTTATTTTATTCTACAAATCTTCACCGTTGGATGAGATTGTAATCTAACGGTATTGAGAGCGGTAGCTAAAATAAGAGTAGACAGAATAACCTATCCTTTAATAAAATTTGAATTAACTTGATATTATAATAGAAAATATAGGAATCATTTTGCAGGACGAAATTTTTTTCCTGTAACATTACATGTCACAAACCCTATTATAATTTACTCTGTTCAAATTAATATGTATTTTTTTTAAAATAAAAATATTAACCTTTTCGTCTTCTTCTTGTATAACATGATAATTCGGTATAATTCAATAGTAATAATAACATATAAATGTAAAAAAATTCCTATTAAACACTACCAGCGTACCATTAGTTAATATTAAGGCCTTGTTTGGTGTGACGTATAAGGCATGATAGTATAAGCTTATACTATATGTTATGACATTTTCAGTTGTTTGGTGTGACCATCGTATAGTATAAGCTTATACAACATAATCTCTTAATACATCAAAACGATGTATAACTTAATCCGGCCTAAGGATGAGGGATAAGGCCTGATAAGATATTGATGTATTAACATCGTTGACCAATGTAATTCTCAAAAATTAATATATTATTTTAATATTAATCTATTAAAATAAAAATTTATTTTTCAATATATTAATTTTTAAAATATTCAATATTTTTATTTTTATAAAAATTAATTTATATTTTGGACACACTGATCAATAAATTTTTATAAAAATTAATATCATATGACATTTTTTGAAGAATTATATAAATTCTTTATTAAATGATATTTTTATTAAAAATATTTATTTTTATCATATATAGTATTATACAGTGCATTACCAAATACTAGATAATATTATCTTATACAATATATTATTTTATACAATATCGTGCCAAACGCTGGATAGTATTAAAATTCAATCAGGTCTTATACTAGCAGGTCTTATACTATCAGGTCTTATCCTATACTATGCACCAAACATGCCCTAAAGCACTTTCTTTGAATGAGAATAACCATCCAAGCACATCATTAGGGGTGCTAAACGAGCTAGGGGCCTTACAGGAGCCTTTGGCTCAGCTCATGAAGGCTTGAGCTTATATGTCTAAAATTGATTGTTGGAACCAGGCTTGGATCTGTATAAAAGCTCGTTTAATAAAAAGGCCCCAGGTCTAATTCAAAAGCTCGGCCTAAGAGCCTCTCAGGCTGACCTAATATATTAATTTTTATTTTTATTTTTATTTATTTTTTATACTACTTGTGATAGCCATTTCTCTCTCCTCAATCCATTTTATCCCATTTTATTAATTAAACAGACTTTTTGAATGATTTTGTTATATATTATGCTGTTTGGATATACATTAAATTTATGAATATTTATGGAATTACTAGTGTTGTTGATTGTATGTTTTGTTTGGATAAATTTTTGTTGTCTTAATTTTTTTTAAACAGGCTAACAAGCTAAACCAGACTTTTATTTTTTGTAAATCAGACAGGCCACAGGCTGAAATTATATTCATAATAACAGGTAACAGGCTTGGTCAGTCTCACACATTTAAATACAGTCTTAGCCTTTTAAGACCAAAGCTCGGCTCGGCTCGGTTCGTTACCACCCCTACGCGTCACCCCACCCTACCTCGCTCTATGATTTCACGGTTCAAATATTGAAATGCTATTTCGTGGATTTCTTACAATTCGGTTATTCGGCCAGAAAATTCAACAAGTATGAAATTTTTAACATGTCCGTCTTGCACGGTGATAGAGAAAACTTATTCCCAAAACGCCACATATTATTGGAGTCAAAAGGAGACTGGATTGTGAACCATTCACGAGAATCAACAAAGCTGGGTGGACAAACGCTCCCATGTATCTTTCACTTTCATCATCTTTAAGCTTAGAATTAGTCTTTGACATAGAAAAGAAAGAAGAAGAAAATAAAAAGTATTTTCTTGCATCATAGTTAAGCAAGAAACATGACAAACTTCATCTTTTCATAAAGAAATCCTACTCATAGTCTATTTGGTGTTGATTGAGATTATTGGTGTTATTAACACATTTCTTGATTTTTGAAACGGATTCAAATCTACCTAGTGATAATGCTCACGAAAAGTAATCCCTCAACTTTTATATCATCTAACTCTACACCAATATTGTTAAAATTTATTAATTCCATTGACAATTACTAATTTTTGTATCAGTTACTACTATTAATTTTATTTTAATGTGTCAACTATGTGGTTGGGAATTGCGATGTATATATATATATATATATATATATATATATATATATATATATATATATATATATATAGAGAGAGAGAGAGAGAGAGAGAGATATGATGGTTATATTTACAAACTAAATTGTTTACAAACTCTTATAATCAAATATTAACTGTTGATTTCCGTCAATCTGACGGTTATTGTAACACCTCGTGTACACCCAGTTTGTTAACATGTCATTGTATTAATCTACGCTTAATTAAAATTGAGGAATAACTTTTTCTTTTCAATTATGACGTCATTAATCTTTACCAAGTTACGTACTTAGTTCTTTTTCAAAACATCGCCTGTATGTAATTGCAAATAAACAGCTATCTACATTGAATAACCTCATGATATAAAAGTGAGTATCTAAGTCACGGATCTACAACACGTAGTCCGGACAATATCCTGATACATTAAACACTAGAATCTAAACAACACAGTCAAATCAATGTGATATGGATAAACCTCATGCTCACCAAATAAGGCAACAGAGCCTAATAGCGTCTCAACAACAAACATAAATAAATAGCATCCAATATCCAGTCATGTCAGCATACAACATATATCAATCAACTAAGCTCCGGCCTCCTGCCGCTAGAGGTCTCAACCCCTAGGTTACCTGAACCCAAAATAAGCGCCCCAAGCGTAGGGTGAGATCTCTAAACAGAAATCTCAGTAAGGCAAGGGGTCCTCAAGGTATTTTTCACCCCAAGCTCACTTACATGTGCAATATAAATTCTAAAAACAATATATCATATCAGTTCCAAAATCAGTGCAATATAGCAGATAATCATGTCATGTGTGTCAATACTATTCTACTTGCCAAAGAAATGCAGGATTTATATACGTCTATTACCTACATTAGTGCAAGACGCCACTTGCACCCACCCACAGGATCACCATATTGTATGACGCCACATACTCAGGCTCACCGTCTAAGTGGAACAAAACATACATATTATAAGCAATTGCACTTAACAGCTCAACAGCATTTCAAATTATCAAAGCATGTAAACACAGCATGCATATAAACCACTCCCCCATGGGGTATGGTGGAACCACACAATGGCTAAACCGAGGACACGAAAGCTTACCTTGCAAGCTAGCTATCCAAGCCAAGAGTCCAACCAAGCTCAAAGTCCACACACAGCACAATCACAATCTGTTTGGACCAACAATCAAACACAACAAGCATATGACATAAAGACAACGCCTTTCCTTTATGTTTCATGACCTTAGGCTTCTCACAAAGCCCCAAACCCTTAATCACTTAGATTCTGACTTAGCTATTCATTACAGAGGTTCAACTTAACCAATCCAGGGTCCACAAACCCATAACTCAGTTCTGTATGAACAGTACAGATATTGTCCTCGAAAACCCAGAATATCCGGATATATGTCAGGGTCATATCCGGATATCCATATGCGGATATCACAAGACCCCATATCCGGATATTTCGCGACAAAATGCAGTTTCTGCATTTCGCGAGATATCACTCCAAAGGTTCAGTTTTTAATCCATTAAAACGTCCAAGCATGCATTTTTAAACCCATTTCAGCCAGTTATCACGTTTGTTACTTGTTTATCTTATTAACATGTCAAGACTCAACCTTTAAGCAATTAAAACTCATGATCAAAGGTTCAACAACTTACCCAAAGCTTAAAACAGCAAAGAATGATGCTCTTGGAGCTCGCAAGTCAGCTCCAAGGTGCTAACTCCAAGGGTGCATGAAAATGACACCCATGCAAGGTCCTTTCTCTTCAAAGATCACACCTTGAAGCTCCCACACTCAAGGAAATGGTTCCCACATCAAGTTTCATGAACTCAGCCCCTAAACTACACTCACAGAGGCCAAACTCAGAAAAATAAACACTCCCACACCTTCACAAGACCCACTTACACAAGGCTTTGGTGTTTAGATGAAGAAAGAGTGGGGAAAGGTGATCACTTGGGCTTGTTCTTGAAGAAAATGGAGGTGGCAAGCTTTGGAGAGCACAAACTCAGAAGTGGAGGCACAAGGGACACGTAGGAATGCCAAGTTTCTGACCTAGGATCATGTGCCACCCCTTAAATAGCCCACTTAAGTTTTAAACACACAGTATTAATGCTAACAGTTATGCTTAGCATTTTAATCCCAAACTTAGGATTCTGAACCTAGCCATTTTTCTAAGATTTG